GTCTCCTGTTTTACCTTCTGTATTACTTAGGTCTGAAATCAAAAGTGCCTGCAAGCCATTTCGTAATTTGATGTATCTAAAACAAAACAAAACAAAATACATTTGAGTCAGCAATTTATTAGAATACACAATACAAGTGATCAGCTTAGCAAAAATTTTGTAAAAATTCAAGTACACACAGGAAAACCAACATTATTTTAAATTAAACTAATCAAAGTGTTGTTCTGGGAGGGGAACCTCAAAAAAGCTTATCAGTTTCTGAGTAGTTGAAAAGAAAGGATGAGAGACACTACATTGTATTTTATATACAGTGGTGGGCAAAAGTAGGTTTACAGTTGTGAATAGGCAAGTTTATTATTGTATTATTATTTATTATTTTCCAAATGAATGACTATAAACCTACTTTTGCCCACCCCTATATACAGTGTACATTTTAAATTACCATTTACATTTTTAAATTTTAAACTATGAAAATAGTTATTCAAAAACCAAATCTTAGAAGTTAAAGCCCCCACTCAGACCACCTTACTATTTTTTTAGTTTGTAAGTATTCAATAAACATTCTACCATACCAGAAGACTTAAGAGAAACATATCCCCCAATGTACGGAGCAGTCATGTAAGCTTAAACATTAAAGCAAAATCTCATACATTTAAACTCTGTTGGTTCCCTTTGATACAATGTATTTGATATTTCATACCAGTCACCAAAGCTGCTTTTATGAACTAAAAATTGAATATAGCTCTAAGAAAACAATCCCACAGCAGAGAGATGATTATCCTATTTTAGTAAAACTGCTATGCCAGTTTGATGACGGGTGCCTACTACAAACTTCTGTTTATACTCATTCTTACGTGTTATTCAATAAGCATTTACTTAGCAGCTTTTTAAAAATATTTTTTTATTGATGTCAGAGAAGAAGGGAGAGGGAGAGATAGAAACATCAATGATGAGTGAGACTCATCAATTGGCAGCTTCCTGCATGCCCCTACTGGGGATTGAGCCCCCAACTGCATGTGCCCTGACCTGGAAGCCAACCGTGACATCCTGGTTTACACGTTGATGCTCAAACACTGAGCCACATTGGCCAGGCTGCTTAGCAGCTTTTAATGTATTAGATACCATGCTACATTAAGGGTAAAAAAGAATAAAACCACATTCCTCGCCATCAGGTACTCACTGTCTAGTACCATGCAATACAATTAAGCCAGTACAATACAAATTGACAGAGGTAAACACATAATATTAGAAAGAAGGAAGCAATCAGGGAAGGCCTGTGAGACAAGGCACACTTAATTTGAGCCTTGCCGATAAGAAAAAAGTTCTAGCAGAAAGTGAAAATATTAAGGTACAAAGAAAAGAAGGACTTGATTAAGATAGAAGACTGAATACATGGCTTTAGCTCTCTCCTTTCCATATCAAAAATCGCATTTAAATAACCTCAATACTCCAGCTTACTCCTCACCCCCATCCAACACACATACCTCAAATCTATCCTCAGCAGCCTGAATAAAGCAGATCAAGAATGTGATAGGCTAAACTGTTTCCCCGATAGTCTTTTGCGAAAATCCTAACCTCTAATACCTCAGAATGTGACTGCATTTAGAAATAGGGCCTTTACAGAGATTATTAAGTTACAATGAGGCCATTATAGTGGCCCTAATCTAATCTGACTGTTTTTAAAAGAAGAAATTTGGATCCATAGACATTGGACATGTCCACACACACATGAAAGGCCATGTGAGGACATAGCATGAAGGTGGCCATCTGCAAGCCAAAGAGAGAGACCTCAGAAGAAACCAAACCTAACACCTTGACCTTGGACTTCTAGGTGGACTTGGACTCCAGAAATGAAGAAAAACAAGGTTCTGTTGTTTAAGCCACCCAGTGTTGTTGCAGCCCTAAGGCTCCATATAATGTTCCCCCACTACCTATACAACCTCCTTTCCCACCCCACTCTTTATTCATTTTTTTGTTGTTGTTCTGACCAAATAACTTTATTGTTGTTTCTTTAACATTCCAAACAGGGCCTTCGTGATTGCTATTCCATCAGCTCTTGCCCCAGATGAGTATTTGCATGGCTGCTCCATCTCTTTCAAATCTTTGCTGAAATGCCCACTTTTCAGAAATGCCTTTTCTAACCATAGTATCTAAGATAGCACCCCAGTCAATCTCTATCCTCTTTTATCCTGCTTTAACATTTTTCACACCACTTATCATCACTTGACTTTTTTTCTTATTGTTCTTATGTGGGCCTTTAGAATGTCAGCTCAAAGGGCAAGGCTTTTCTTTTCTTTCACAAGCACCTAAGACATTGCTTGGTACTTAGGGAACATTTAAGAAACATTTGTTGAACAAAAAATGTTACTGCCTAAAGAGGGCCTGATATATGATAGGCACTTAAAACTGACAAAGTGAAACAAAATATCAGCTAAAATCTAATACCTAGTTTCATAAAGATAAATATTATAAGTATACATGTATACATTAAATGTATATAAAGGTATAGCAAATGAAATAAGAGGATACAAAACAAATGTAACAGTAATCCTACATAATAAAAGGCTAATATGCAAATCAACCAAACGGCAAAACGACTGGTTGCTATGACATGCACTGACCACCAGGGAGCAGATGCTCAACACAGGAGTTGCCCCCTGATGGTCAGTGCATTTCCATAGAGGGAGCACTGCTCAACCAGAAGCTGGCTCATGGCTGGCCAGCGTAGAGGCAGTGGCAGGAGCCTCTCTCACCTCCGCAGCAGCACTAAGCCATTAGTCAGGCATCCCCCAAGGCTCCCGGGCTGCCAGAGGGATGTCTAACTGCCAGCTTAGGCCCAATCCCCCAGGGAGCAGGCCTAAGCCTGCAGGTGGACATCCCCCACAGGGTCCCGGACTGTGAGAGGGTGCAGGCCAGGCTGAGGGACCACACCGAGTGCACAAATTTTCATGCACCAGGCCTCTAGTGCGTGTGTGTGTATGGAGAGGAATAGAAGTAAAACAGGATACAAGAACTTCTGTGCCTTAATTTATAATTTCTATACTTTTTCAATTTTTTGTAATGAAAACATGTCCATTTATTATTTGTATAATAAAAGTAATTTAATAAAAACCCAAAACCCACTCCTTAACAAATTAAGAACACATACACACACACACAAAGTCCTTTGTTTTATAGAGGACTAACTCCACTAAGTCAACATCAAATCCATTTAAAGACAGTCAAGGATAAAATGCTCTTTATCATCATTTCTAGTCAACACTACATTGGAAGTCCTAATCAATAAAAAAAGATTCAAAATATACATAAATAGAAAAATTATGAGGCCAAGATAGTGAAAGCTAAAACAAATAATTGCAAAATATGACTACCTAGAGAATTAAAGAAAAATTTTTAAAATGAGTAATAAAGAGGTCAGCAAAGTATCCAAAATCAAGAACCATGAACAAAAAGCATGAACTTTCCTATGTAGCAAAGATAACTTATTAAAATGAGATTTAAATAAAAGCTCCTATTCACAAAAGTAACAAACTATAAAATACTTAAATATAAACCTAATAACAATAGCTCACATTTTAAATGTATTAACTTGCATGTCTTAACCCACTTAATCTTCCTAATAACCCTAAAGAGGTATTATTCCCATATTACAGATGAGGAAACTAAAGTACAACGAAGGTTTGTCCAAGCTTACCAGGAACTGAACTCAAGTAGCATGGCACTAGAACCCATTCTTTTCACTACTACTAAACACAGCATACATAAGGAAAACTAGAAAACTTTACAGAGAATTCATACCATACTGTTGGGTGGGAACACCCAATATTGCAAAGACATAAATTCTTCCCCCAAATTAATGTATATAGTATTCAAGGAAATTCCACTTTTAAAATCCCAAAGATTTTTGTGGAACTTGATATACTGACTCTAAAATTCATGTCGATGAGAAACACAAAAAATGCCAAGAACATTTAAAAAAAAAATGTTTTAATCCTCACCTGAGGAATATACCTTTTTTTTAATTGATTTCAGGGAGAGAGAGGGAGAGAGAGAAAGAGAAACAGAAACACTGATTTGAGAAACATCCCTCGGTTGCCTCCCATATGTGCTCTGACCAGGGATGAAACCGCAACCTGGGCATGTGACCTGACTGGGAGTCAAACCCACTACCTTCTGGTGTATGGAACAGGACAACACTCCAACCAACTGAGCCACACCTGCCAGGGACCAAGAACATTTTGAAAAGGGACAACAATGAGGGGGAACTGCCTTACCAATTATAAAAAGTCTTTTAAAGCAATTGAAATTAAACAGTCTACTGGTACAGGAACACCTACAGATGAAAGAGAACAGGTTCTAGAAACCGAGAAATGTTTATAATACTATTGCAACACTGTTTATTATAATTCAATAAATGGTGCTGAAACAAAAGACAATTCACTTAGGGAGAAAAACTAGCCATCTATCTCTACCTTACACTCAACACATAAATAAATCCCAGATAGATTAGAGAGCTAAAAGGAAAAAGCATTCTAAAAGTATTTAAGAGACAATAGTTATAACACTAGAATAAGATAATTTGTGCTAAACAAGACATAAAATCCAGAAGCTATAAAGGAAAAAATAGAAAGATTTCACGACATTCTAATTTAAAACTTTTTTAGAACAAAACATCATAAACAAAATCAAAGAGCAAAATGCACACTGAAAGAAAACACTAACAGAGAACATTCATAAAAGAGAAATATTGGAAATCACCCAAATGTCCACAGGTAGGAGAATATGCAATAAATTATCCTTTAGCCACACTATACCATAATTCAAGATTTCATTTTCATTACAGAGAGAAAATAGCAACTTGGGTTCTAGCCTTAAATTGTTATTTCTAGGCCTAATAGATAGTGCTCAATCATTTTAGGTCCAAAGAGCATACGTGAAGAGATCAACCAAAGAACTTGTATGCATAACCCACGGACAAAGACAATAGGGTGGTGGAGGCCTGGGGTGGGGGATAGGGGCGGGCAATAAGGGGTCAATGGGAGAAAAAGAGGTACATATGTAATACTTTCAACAATA